CCCAATTAGCATCGGCTGTATTTCAATAGTTTTGTTAAGTCCCATAGATAAAAAAAAAGGTCTTAAATAACTCATTTATAAATGTATTACAGTTAGGTAATATTAACTTGTGATATCATACTGTATGGAAGTTATATTAAATAAATCTATTAACTTAACATCGAAAATTGTAATAATTACTACTCACGATTAACGATTTAAAAACCAACTATAGGCAGACAACACTTAACAATTCATCAATGTATTATACTGAAAAAAAAGCTTCACAACCGTGATAGTAATGGTGGTGGTGGTGATGATAGTAGTGGTGATGGTGACGATGATGACGGCGGTGGTGGTGGTTTTCATGATGATGAACGGTGATGAAGACGATAATGATAGGCCTATTTATTAACATTATACCATAATAATACAAATAAATAAATAGATGTAGAGGTATCTGTATTGTACTCTGTATCCAATAAATATGCGCACAGACAACACACAATTCAATATATCTGGGTTAAATAATGAAAAGATAAATAATTGTTATAAAATACTGATCTTATAAAAGTTTAAAAAGTAAATAAATACATAAAATTACGTCGTAGGTCGTGATTTCCTCCACCACCGCCCAACCCTAACAATTTTTGTGTCACGTGTTTCCACACGTATATTGTGCGCATTGGTTATCTTTACTAACCAGGGGCGGATCCAGAAATGTCCAAAAGGGGACCGGAAGGGGGCCGGGAGTTGGGCCGATTGAGACAACACTGTCGTAGGGGGTCCGGGGGCATGCCCCCGCGAAATTTTTGTGTTCTAGACGCCCGAACGTAGCATTTGAAACATTCTGGGCTATTATTTTTTTCTTTTTCCCTTTTTTTTTTTTTTTTCTGTTTTTACTTCCCAAAAGGGGGGCCGGGCCGCCCCCCTAAATCCGCCCTTGCTAACGGGTGCTACTATCGATCGTCCATCTACAATATATCTGAACAGCACATTAACTGTGCCTGCCAGGAATGACGCCAGGTTTCCTACCAGAGCCTTAAGTGGGCGTGGTCATTGGCTGCCCAGTACCAAAATTTAGGGATTTTTTTTTTGTATCATTTCATTCTTTATTTCAGATATCAAATCCATATACTATATATCTAACACAACATACAAAAAATAATAAATATATCCGAAACTTTTCACCAACAAGCTAATATATTAATTTACACCATCTCTGGTACATGCTGGATTTAGGAAGCACATTATTAATTGCTTCAATTAAAACATTCGTGCTATCAGAAATTCTACGGATAAAACTGTGTATCGAATTTCTCCAATATTCATAAAATGAAGGGATACAGTCGTTCACAAACATCATGCTTGCACTATTATTTCAAGGCAGCCTTAGCTGATTTGAACGGCTTATTTAAGATTTCCACAAACTGTAGACTATTTTTCTCCCCGACGGGTTGAGAGAGGGGAAGTAAGGAAAGCTCTTTCCGACGGGATCCTTTCCCCTATTGGCGCCACCCCTGGTGACTACTACGGCGATCGATCAACATCCAGTAGAGGATACAGGGTAAGGGTGACACCTGAATCGCGCTTTGGCTATAGGCTTTATTCTGAGTAGGCTGATGCCCATGCCATCCTCTTGCTCCTCGAGCTTTCATGGTACTGATAGTGATGCCACCAATCATCTTGTAAGATATTGCTGCGGTTAATATTCTACTTCGTACATCAACCTAAGTCTTGGTGTCTACAACAGAATTAACAAGACATGCCTGCTCGCCGTCTTGAATTGATAAACATGTCATTGATGTGTCAATTTGTGGACAACTTAAACTGGTAGGTAATGAATTTTCAGAGCGGTGGTGTTCCGGCTCGGGGACTGTCAGAGAGCTGTTCTGGTCTGCTTCAGCATTCGGCGGTCGCCAGGTCCATCCACTTTCTACGTCAGATATGCCTTTCACAGGTTGATATCCCATTATACCTAGATGAACGGAGCTATCGCTTTCTCTCCGATGTTCGTATCTGCTATTGGGACGCCTGAAAGAATCGATCAGAAAATACTTGTAGGTCTACATACCGTATTGTATGATAGATAGTTATGGATAGAAAAACGTACATTGATTAGTTGATTACCTAATTAAATGATTGATTAAATAATTGATTAATTGGATGTGATTGGTTTGTTAATTGATCGATTTATTGATTGATTGGTTGGCTAATTGTTTAACTGTTTGATTGATTGATTGATTGATTGCCCTACATGAATACTTACGATACATCAGAAGAAGCTCCGGAGGAGTTGCTCCTGTTTCGATGTTCACTAACTGGTAAAAGACAGTAGGATGGACACAGCTCGGCAACTTCCTTCGGTGGATGTCGTGTTGTCCTTCCCTTCAGCCAGTATGTAACCATGCTGCCTTTACCCTGAGGAGTTAAAGTGTAGAGCATATCAATGTTTAACAAATTTACGTAACGGTATACGGTTAGGTGGTGTTTTAAAAAGTAAAGAAAATGAGTAGTAGGCCGAAGATATACTACCTTTATTCGGCTCTTAAGGGGAAACTCTTTTGTCTATGATTTCCCCTTAACACACAGATAACGCATAACTTAGTCTAGATTATGAGGAAAAATAAGACAAGGTCCCAAGTGTAGAGTAAATGTCTCGAAGACGACATTACACACAACGTTCTTATGAGTGCGATGCGACACCGCAAATAAGTGCTTTTTTTGTGTAAATCAGATCGTTGACTAACATGACGCTAATAATGGCATACGCCTAATAATGGCAAAATATAAATTGTTCACTTATTGTAGCGCATGTAACGCAATGAACAATGTTATCAAATTTCAATAAGATATAGGTCGAGACAAGTAAACGTGTTATTGGAATTACCGCGAGAATGGATCAATGGAAAATATAGACCTGTTTTATAGGCCTATTCATTCTTTTAATATTGGCGATGATTTTTTTTTCCTTCTGATTATTTTAAGTTATAATAAGAAAGTCTTTCAGATAGTACTTAAATTGTCACTACCACGTGCTTACGAAAGGTGCAGTTAAGTAGTAGAACCCCTCCTCTGGGACTCCCCTATTAAGGGGACACTTTCAGTGACGAAATAAAAGAAAGTATATCTTTTAACAGTACAGTACGGCTAACTCTTATGTAGGGGACACATTGTCAGTGGCGGATCCAGGAATTCCAAGTAATGGGGGCCCGGGGAGGTACTTTCACGGTTGGAGGATCTATACCGCCTTAGCCGGCCCCACCATCATGGTTGGAGCTGATGTAAGAAAATATGTGATTATGGCCGGAAATTGCAATCTCAGACTTAAAATTTGAATATAATATTCTTTATATCTCAATATTTTTAAATAAATTTTGATCAATTTAGGAGGGGGGGGGGCGGGCCGGCTGCGCCTCACCCCCGAATCCGCCACTGGCAGTACAATGATTGCATTGAATATACTGTAGTGACAGTGTATCGATTTTAAGGAAACCAGGCTAACCCATGTCTCAAACTAATAATTTGACTTACCTTTATGTGTGTCACTCCTCGTTTCTCACACACGTAAGGCCATCCTTCTAGGAATTTATGTGTCACTTCACTAACGTGTATTTTGCACGACTCACCAGTGGATTCCATTCGAGATGCCGTGTTGACTGCGTCACCAAACAGACAGTAGCGTGGCATCTTCATACCAACAACGCCAGCCACAACGGTACCGGTGTGTAGGCCTGGTGAAATGCATCAATGATAACAATGTGAAAATCGAACTGATTTTTCCCCCTAACATGATGGAACGATGTTCTGTAAATAAGTCTCATTTGGAGGTTAGTCGTGAGAAAAATCATAGTGACGCAGAATTCGAACCCAGGATCATGTGATTGGAGGCCGGGCACTCACAGAAGAAGAACGCAACAGTATCAGGCTGTGTGGTATTCTATTTTTTTTTCTGCTTGTTATTACATTTTTAAAAATTTATTATTATTATTACTATCAGTTTCTAATTAAGTTTCTAGCCATAAAGCAGCCCTGACAAAAGCGTCGAGCAACAATAAACAATACAATAAAAATAAAAACAAAAACGTCCCCATCATCCGATTCTCTGAGGGTCTACCATCCGTGGCCACCGCTATCACCATACCTGGACCGCTCCCTAATAATAGGAGGCTGCTCCGAGGCACCGGCTATCAGTTCGATCCTTCAGAAATTTGGACATTGTCGATCAGAGGAAAGGCGGTTAAAATAATTCGACAGAGTGACATAGGGAGTTCATCGTCAGACCGTATAACAGCCAATTATTGACTAAAAGCAAAGAATTTAACCGTCAATTTTTCACATTAGAAGGAAGAGTGAGGGCTACGTATTTTGCAATCGCTATGTAAAAACCAAAATCATTTAAGTCTACATGGCGGCATGATGTTTTATTGAACACATTAGAAAAAACAGCTGGCATGGTATAGTGTAGTGACTGACGTTTAATTGAACTGAAACTTACATACGCGGTCAATAAACGGAATATTGCAATACATGGCGATATATTTGGGGGTATTTATGGTCTAAAAATTACACATGTGGCATAAATATTCAATCGTGTGAAGTGGCGCTAGTTTATCAATGGTTTATTAAATTCGTTATTCACGAATCTATTGTTCAAAACATATTTATCAGTTCTATCGTGAAGGTTTAAATCCATGGTTCTACGAACCTACTATACGCACACTGAGAACGAAGATGAGATTTCCAAAATAAATATATCTAGGCCTAACTGTACGGGGCGCTGTTTGTCCGGACACTGCCAATTATGTTTTTAAATAGGCATTCAGAAATAATTATGTACCACAAAACAACAACAACAGAATGCCTATTTAAAGACATAAATAGCAATGTCCCAAACGGTGCCCCGTATACTGTACCGATAGAAAAATGCTATGTTGCCATGTGTTTTAAATCCTTCTGGTTGTTTTGTTGGTAGTAGTACTAATCTCATCTGCATTTGCTACGTTCTGCACAAACGCCTGGTGTCTCGTGCAATATGCGAGCATGGGGTCGTCAACAATTAAGATGGACGCGGTTATTAAGACCATAGAGAAAAGATTCTCAAGATGGAATTTAAATGACTCCTAAATGTACTGGGAGACAATACCCTACTCTCAGTCTCCACAAAGAAATGTTGGGGCTAAATAAGTATCTGCATGGTTTAGCCATTGCTTTAGCAAACTTACACTGTGGCTATCACTAGTTAAGTCGATGAGCTAAGCCTACTCTTCCATACTACGCTATAAAAGTAGCATATTATCAATTCATTTCGGCAATGATCAAGATGTACTGCCTACAGTGTATACATATCATTCATTATTTAATAATAAGATTCGAATATAGTAACATTTGGTCTTAAATCGTATTAAGCACAGCTCTTCAACGAAAAATTTCTTGCATTAATGAATGAGTCTGACGCGATTCTGCAAACACAGCTTGGAGATGGATTTGCACTAATCCTTTACAGGAACCACTGTCATAAACAAACCTCTATAATTACGCGAATATCTGTTTATTTGATCTACCTACCTATTCGTATTTTCATATTTCCGCCGTCAGACGGATCGTGGAGTTTGTGCATGCTGCTCTGCATCGCCAGGGCCATCTCAGCCACGAGTAACGCGTGGTAACGTGTAGGATTCGGGGCGCCAGACACGACCATGTACGCGTCACCGATCGTTTCAACCTGTATTAATCAAGAAAAAAACATTTATATGCTGTTATGTAATTTAAATAATTATTGTTTAGATAATCTTACTGTTATGTATCATGAGATCCATTTTAAACTGTGATAATCATATCGTAAATCATTCAGTTGGTCATTTAAAAGAATCTATGCATCAACTTAAAATGAATCATATTTTTTTCTATAATATTTATTATTAGTTTATTTATAAGCCAATAAATGTATTATTGGCCAATGTGAGTGTTAATGCAAAAACTAAAAGAACAGTATTATTAAGTAAATGTGAATGTTTATAAATGTATTCATTATAACTGTAAATCAGTACATTGGCAATTATTTTTGTATTTTTTGTTTATACAAGACTAACAAAGCACAATAAGTAATTCAAATAGGCACATTTTTATTTTGAATGATGAGCTCAACACTGCCATGGTTCTTGTGTACCATAATGATAAATGATTCCTTGTAACAGATCAGCGCTGACATAGATGACACACCGATATAATACTGTTTCCAAAAGTTTTAAACATTGCATTTATTTACAAAATGTATATATTATCTTACTTAATGGTTTTCTGGATCATAATAGCTGCTCGACCCTTTTAGTCTCCTTCTATACAGTAGTTCTGTATTAGACCTACAGTACATAGTCTGTTAGTTTGAAAGTTCACAAAGACGTATAATATAATGTTTCCATTAGGGGTGATTGTATTTTCGATATTCCATCATCATGGAGGTATGATTTCATGCTTCACCTATCATCGGCGTTTGACAAAATATATAATTATTTTTTGCTTTGATAAAGGGCTCCCCATAATTGGATTGGCGACAGTGATGGTTTCGTTTCAGTTTTATTTGCCATCTAGAAATCAGTTAAACAGATATTGGATACCTTTATGGTCAGACAGGCTTTGCACATCGGGTTTTGCTATTCGAAATTAGACCCGTTACTTGTACAGCACACTCATTAGGCAGCATCAAAAACATTGTTTATTATTATAAACCTATTCCTCCGTGGTTTTATATATTAGGCCTATGCTCAAATTCAAATTCATTTACAGCTGTGAAAATGTTGAATTAAACATAAGTATAATATAAAAAAAAAACAGGTAAAAAAATAAAGCCATAAAGGGATTGTTAAATTCGAGAGGTACCTTAGCACGAAAAAATATATGAAATACTTGCATGTATGCAGTACATTAATTAAATAAGAACTTCTAAATCTAACATAACTAACAAATCTTAACTAAATATATTATTGAAATTTAAAAAAAAAAAGAGTGTTTATAAAAATATAGAAAACACTTAATATAAGAACAGATGCATTAGCAGATCTAGGTTGATGCCACTAAAATGGAAATATGCAAATTTGAAACATATTCCAAAGACTGCGATGAAGAGATTTGCTCAACATAATAGTGCAAGCGTGGCTGTCAAACAACATGCTCAGTTTAAATTCAGATAAAAACTGAGATATTGGCATATGTTCACACACGGGAGCTAATGGTTAGCAGGAACCAGATACGCGCGTGCGTTTATACAAGAAAATACCAATACAGATACCAAGAAGATGATTGTCGGATTACTGGTCAATAGGAAACTGGAAATTAGAAATGCGTACGTAATGATAGAAACGCGCTCAACTTGCTAACTGACAGCGCTCGCTAAAACTAACTGTTAGCGTATCCTGGTAATAACGGTTAGCGCTACCCAATCGGGCGTTCACACACGGGTGCTAACGGTTAGCTCCCGATCCGGATACTAGGGCTCTCGTGTGAACCTGACCAAAACTGAGTTAAATATCTCAGAAATGTTCCTGTCAGACATAATATTAACATTTAATGCAAAGCTATTACTTCTACCAGAGATGTTCTCTGATTGTTAACAGCTTTACTGGTCTGCCGGTCAATCAACGTTCTATTTTAAACTTAATGCTTGTTAAATAATGGAGGTATCCATGGTTAAATGCAATTCACATATACAAGCCCACTAACAGATCTGGCGCATGTACACTTTCAAGACTTAAGGTTATAAGAGAACATTATAGATTGCTGCTCCAAAATTGCGAAATGACTTGCCTGAATGTGAATACGTAGATTGTCAAATGGCTTAATAAATTGTTGATTTTTTTAAAAAGTATGTCGTGCCGGATGTCAATAGAATTTGGGTCGGCAAATTGATCTGTGAATTATTCGATGTCAGCAAACTCTTAAAGTGGGAAGAACAGCAATATCTGAATTTGATTGCCCTCGGTGTCGTGCTTATTTGTATCTTTTCTGGTTTGCCTGACCCCCGGTTTGGCCGTTTTTGTGTCTTTGGTCTTGATTTCATTTAAATTTTTTTTTTTCAGACCATTGTATTACGTACGTTATAAAGTCATCGATTAATCGATTGATTGATTTGATAGATTTTTAATGTGAGGGAGTTTAATTTGGGTGCTCGTCGTTCAAGAAAACAATCAATTTAATCTCTGCAAAGATATATGATTTTCTCCCTCAAGATTAAAACATATCAAACCCGTTCTGTCAGTTACCGAGTCATATTCTTCTGCTTATTACTGCGCAAACATTACCTGGAGGTATTGTTAATGTACAACAATGAACAAGCTCGTTTATTTCCATATCTGTGAGCTTACTCGCCCTGAGATGGAAATTAAAAAAAAAATATATATAAACCAACCTTATAAACATTGTTGCATTCACTTAAATGATCAAATGTTGTATACATATCATTGAGCATTGCCACAACCGCCATTGGCGTGATTTTGGAACAGATACGCGTGAACCCAACTACATCACTAAACAGGATCGTCACCTCGTGGAATATCTCGCACGTACTGGTTGCTGGTTCTCCTCTTCTCAGCTTGTCTGCCACCGTTCTAGGAATCATCTGGTACAAAAGCGAATCGGTCTTCTTAATCTCCATGTCGAGTTTGCGCATGCTATTCTCAAGCTCTGCGCTTTTTATTTGCTCCTGTTGAAAAAAAAAATCTCTCATGATAAAACCGACGGCGTCCACTTCAAACCGAAGGACGGTTATGTTAACTATGGTAACTTGAAAATGTCATGTGAATTTACATTTCGTACAATTCGTCAATCAATATAGACGATTCGTTTGACAGATTGAAATAGGTAATTTGTCTAGCACTTTATAGTACACAATCTTAATTCAAAGCCACAAGGGAAATGTAGTATAAATGTAAAATAGTTAGACAAAGGGGCTTTGTTAAGAAGGATTTAGCAAAAATAGGCTTAATTGTTTATTAGCATAATTCCAATCAACTCATGGTATTATACAACAAAGTTGTTACAAAATTGCCTTAATTGGACATCCAATATTAGATACATAGTTCATCGTACTTGAATATCATACATTGAAATTGATGAATAAGTGTTCAGGTACCCGGATGATGAGAGACATAATAGGGAGACTCTGCAACCTTATAAAGCGATAGCGAATACGTCATTATCATTATCGTCATTCTTGCCTAACATTATTGTCAATATGCTGTACGAGGTGAACATGATCCTTGGAAAAGTATGAATCATCTACGTAGTCGAAGATATGCTACTGTAGGGGAAGGGGTGTCTAATCAATATTTTATGACGTAACCGTATTCGCTATCGTTTTCGTAAGCTTGCGAAAACTCCCTAATGTTAATCATATCTATGGGATTACCTGATCTAGTGCTAATTTGAGTTCAGCTGATTGTTGTGAGCCCGCCAACAAAAGGTCTCTGCTTGAGTCGTGCATGCTGAGGTCGTTGATGTACAATCCTAACCGATCCAAGTCAGAAATTGCCATCATACTACAAAAGACAAAGCAACAGTTAAATTTAATGACTATTGTGTTTTTTTTTTTTGTTTTTTTTTGTTTTTTTTTTTTTTTTTTTTTTTTTTTTGTGTTTGTGTAAATCTTATTAAATTATAGTGCATTTTCTTTGAAAGTTGTTAACTTAAATTTGTTAACATTTTGCACTAAAGGTTTGTCACTTCGTAAAAATGAAAAAAAGTCTAATGCAGCTGCATAACAGTCACATATAAAGAGGAAATAACTACTTTTTAGTAGAACCTGGTACTCGTAGGAAAGAAATAATCATTCAATGTCATTCTAGAAAATAATTAATATAAAGACACCAGCTCAATCAGCCTTTTTTCAATCTGCAATAGCCCAGCGAAACATTCCCCTTAGGTTCTCAACAATAATTTTGATTCTTTCTGTTCTGTTTAAAAACATCACATGCTTCTATTTGTCCTCCATCTCCTGAACTAAGTTATTTTTTGTCAGGCCTATTTGTTCTTGTTAATACAATATATCATTTACGTTGTTGTAATTTGTATGCCTGGACTATCATAATACAGATGAAATTAATCAATTATTCAATAAAATCAGCAAATTTTAAAAATCAATCAATTTAATCAATTAAAGAATTGATCGACCGGTCGACCTATCAATCATTCATTCATGTAATCAATCAATCAATCAATCAATCAATCAATCAATCAATCAATCAATCAGTCAATCAATCAATAAATCAATCAATCAATCAATCAATCAATCAATCAATCGATCGATCGATCAGTTAATCAATCGGTCAGTCGATCGATCAATCCATTAATCGACCAATCGATCAATCAATCGATAAATCGATCAATCGGTCAACTAAATTACACCATCCAACTAATAAACTATCATTGTAATATCTTCTGTCTACCGTCCCAATCCGGTAGAGTACCTCTTAGTCTTAGCCCTAATTATTTTGGCCTAAATTGAAGGCTCAATTCAATATTTACGGATCAGGGCGAGTACTATTGCGATGGTGACTAAGACCTTACTCTCAAAATAGAAACTTGAACTTTAAAAATTCATTGTGTCTTTACTTTCGTCCTTAATCAAATGCTCTGATTCATTACAACGAACCCGTCTCTTAATTAGAGCCGTAAATTACTTCTGTAATGTTATCCACCACTCGATTAGTAGATGGTTTAAGGTCTGGCGTAAAATAACCAGGGGGAGTTCAGATTCAACAACCCACAAACTAGCCGCCAGAAAACGAAAGGAACCCTCAATCAATCAACTTATCAGTTAGCCTTTTACAACTAAAAACCAGGACGCGACCTACACCCTGTCCTTATATGAAGTATGATGAGCACTTCTATTATTTACGATCGTCTTACATTACTAAGTTTTACAGAAAACACTAAGCTACTAATAGGTAATGAAACATGCTATGGACAAGATTTGTCTGAAATACTTACAATACAATTCGGTTTTGTATAGGCCTAAAGTGTTTCGTGTTAATCTCGATTAGATCATCAATAAACAGGCCAGAGAGCCTTATTATATAATTAGATTAATCTATAATAGTTAAAGGCATACTACGTTTTCGTTATCGTTTTTCATGTTCTAGTGCTCTCAAGGAAACTGTAAAATATATCAATATCAAGATGTGTCCACATTGTCTGTGAAACTATTACGACTTGACTAACTTCTCAAACTGTGTCACAGGCCTTTACTGTGTAACGGATTCATTAAACAACAGACACCTCAGTTCGTTTTTGACATACCATTTTAAATCCTGGTTTACATAAAGTCGCTACACGCAATCGACGACAGCTTTTGGAGACGTTGATTGGTCGGTCAAATCGGGGAGCCTTCTTGATTGCATTAAGCACGGCGAGTTTATGGAAACCAGTAGGTCTAGTTTATTGACAGTTAACTGAGTGGCCACCAAGAAGGTGCAGAGGGGGCACAATTAGCCAGACCGTGGATTAAATGTCTATATTTGAATGTCTGCAGATCAATACGCGCTAATGTGCAAACGTCTGAACATTCCATTTCATTATATGAAATGGAATTTTAGATAATGATTTACAATAATTTGTGTTTTCATTTCTAATGTTGGAATTTAGTGCTTTAATGTTGGAATTTTAGATAATGATTTACATTTTCTATTTTAGTTCGTGATGTTAAAATTGTGCATTCAGCTGAATTCAGTTCTATTCCCGACTGGATTCTCTATCGATTGTTAATTTCTTATTTGAATTATAAGATGCTACAATTCAAAGAGGCCATGTTGAAATTTTCACATTGAGCTGCTGCTTCTTGAATTTTATTACATAAGTGCCAGACTGTTACATGTCTTGGTTAAATAATTTAATGTAATGATGTAATATAAAATATGGATGAACTACTTGTATGCGTGGAACCGGTAAGTCTAAATCCATAAATTCGGTTCCCAAGGGCCGAATTCACCGAGGATTCCAGGCCGCCTATCGGGAATTCTATCCGGAGAGCGCCGAAATGTTACGTAGGCCTATATAGAGAGGCCAGATTGACTGTCGGGAAAAAATCCCTGTGATACCAAGCGTTTGGCAATCTAGGCCTATGTGGTATTTTGGACAATGCTTTCCATCAGTTTTCCAAGTGGAATGACTAATTTTGATTTTTGTCGGCTAATAAAAAAGTTTTACTAATGTGTTTATTTTAGTAGCTTTAATAGAATCCAATTGTCGTAATAACCGATGGTGTGATTCAATCTATATTAACCGAGTGTTGACTCCGTGACAATTACCATAAAAGGGATAGGAGTTAAATTTGACTACTGTATTTATATTCATATTTAGAGCTTACCGTATAAAAAGTGCATATATTTTGTTGATAAATTCTCCACGAGATATCACGAAGTTACTTCGCCACGTAATGCAACACAGTTATAATCGTTCAAATAGACATGACATTTATAGTCCACACATTTGCAAAGAATGCCATGAATTTACATAAATATTATATTAAATGATTTCTATATTTGTAACCGTATGTAAGTCTATTTACACATCTATAAATATCATAGGTTAAATATATACTGCATGTGATAAAAAATATTGAAAAACCGTCAACAATTAAAATGAAAAGGTAGACTTTCAATTTTAAAGAATCAAATAAATTATAATACTCCAATAAGATGTAGATCAAAACACTTCACTTATATATATTAAGGCCTACATATATTTTTTTTTCAACAGAAATCCTTAATTTCCAGAATAGTCTCTGAATTGAATTTTAGGGACAGTATTATTTACCCTTCTTTTAATTGATGTAGAAAGTGTTTGTTTTCATTCCTTTATTTTAACCTAATTACTTACTTAGATATGCTAAGTAGATAGTTCTTAACATTTCAATTTAATTTTTCAATCTCAGCAGTCAGACAAATCGACTTTTACCAGGCCAAGCAAACAAGCGTATGAGGGTATGAGATGGGATATCAGGGTTCCTGTGGCCATTATTTCAGAAAAGCACTAACAACATTAAAGAGACTTGGATCAAGTCGATAGTATGTGCCTTAACAGGCAAGTTCATCAGTTAAAATATTTATGATTATTTTCATTCCCTAAACAATTTCAAACAATAATTGAAACTTTGTCATCTGATATCATAGGACAGAAATATGATACGCTACTACATAAACGAGTACCCAGCATGCTATAGATTAGAATCAATCGTGAGCCTATGTTAAACCAAACAATATATCGGATGGCAACTGCTGTATTACTGTCATGATGACATGTAGTCAAAAGTACTAATGCAGATAATACTGTAAATATTATGAGGATATCGTATCAATTATTTTGTCCTCAAAGCTTGTTTAAATACGGTACGACATAAAATATTGCAAATATTAAATAAATGATAAAACAGTAAAAATTCATCTAAAAACCATACAGGATTGCTGGAAATAGTTCAGTTGCATTCGATGGCCCCTCCATGTTATAAAACCGGTCTTTGATTAAACTCCATACCCACATGTTATGGTCTATATACAACAATAGAGGTCCAACTTGCCGTTCTTTATACACAATAGATACATGTATCTAGAATTTGTGGTTTATTATGTCATTCGTCGTATTTGTGAACAAAATTTTATATCCGGATGATATCCGGATATATATCTGTCTCTTATACACATCTAGATGTGTATAAGAGACAGTATTAATACAGTGCTCAATATATAGAAACATGAAGTAATAAATCGTATCAAACATAGGCCTAGTTCACCAACGAAAAGTTGCATGAAAAAAGAGGTCTCTAGTGGGAATCGTACCCGCTATCTCGTCAAATGCTTATAAGACGATAGCCCATCGTATTGATCTCTGTTATTTGCTATGTATCAAGGACTAGTTTTATCTAACTACGCATGCACATGAGCGTGAAAAAGATTTAGATGAGCCTCAATGGCCTGTTCGTTAAGGCGTCTGAGCAGAAGGTCCCAGGTTCGAATCCCGGTGGGGGAATCTATTTTTTTCCTTACAGATTCCTCTTGTTTAATGTTCAAAATGTATATTTGGAGCATTACCGCAAGACAGTTTAGATTTTATCTCTATTATATTATGATCTATAATATTATTGGACTGAGAAAGAGTATCCCAATCAAACAAAACACATTTGTACATAAAAAAAAAAACTAGATCAATACGGGACAGAAAAGGAGACACACTTTGATTAAGTTTTAGCTGATGTAGAGCGAAGACCGTTTGTTCAGTCGGTAGGTGTGAAGTCCGGGGTATATGAAAATAATATATTAACAGGTAATTTAAATATTATGAGAGAGTAAACCTGAAGATGGTATTGATGTTAATCATCTGCCTCCGGATATTATTCATTCCTTAGAGGTTCATGTTCAAATTAAACACAAAATGTTTCTTTTGCTGCTGCTTTTTTAGTAGTAGGCGCGCCCCGACACTTCAATCAATCAATCAATCAATCAATCAATCAATCAATCAATCAATCAATCAATCAATCAATTCGGCTTCCAATTCAAGTTGACTCTAAAAGCACGAATTTTTCAATAATATCGTTTCTCTGTATAAAATAAATAATTCGGGGCCCTATGGATGCCTTGTAAATTTCATAACTACTTTTGTATTCAAGTAATAAGGTTAAGTTAATTTATATAATATTTAGTTACACGGTAACAGGCCTAGTATTTATATATAGGCCTATTTAGAAATTTATGTAGAACAAATCTAGGCCTATATATCCATGTGACCCTCTTGAATCCGCCACAGTAGGTTAGATTCTTCCCGACGGGTTCAAACGATTCAAGGAATTAATTAGTCCACACTTGGATAGACTTATACTTATATGTGTATTATTACACTACTATACTAAACTACATTTTATATATAGGCATAGGCCTACTGTGGTGGCACAAGTTGTGTTTAGTGTCTTAAAGAAGGAGCGAACTATTTGGAACAGACTCCTAAAGCTTTGTCTACACTATCAAATTTTCTTTGACAGAAAACTGTTGTATGCCCATATATAGTCATGATGTGGCTATATATGGTCATGATGACATCACATCATGACCATATAGGCATGTCACATGTTTTTGTCAAATAAAATGTGATAGTCTGGGCAGGGCTTAAGAAACTTTCCTTCTCTTACTCATGTCTAAAGCCCTGTCCAGACAATGAAATTTTATTCAGAAAAACATGTGACGTGCATAAATATGACATCACATCATGACCATATATAGGCACATCATGGCTATATATGGGCATAAAACAGCTTTTTTGTCAGAGAAGCTTTTATAATCTGGACAGAACTTAAGTATGAAAAATAATTTCTGAAAAAAAATCTTTAAATTGATGTATGTAAAAGTATTATAGTTCATGGAAATTAGGCCTATAAGTCATACATAAGACCTGTAATTTTCTTTGGATATGTTATATCGTCTCAAACCCCAATCTTCTCTATGAAAAGGTTTTAATATCGATCCAAGACCAGCAGTTGAACCTTCCCATTATGGCACAAAATGATAATCACAATAGCATGATTACATGCAGTGGCGTATCTAAATTAGGGCGCACCACCCCACACCAATTAAAAATGCTAGATAAAAATCACCTCATTTCATCATCCCCTCACTTAATCATCGAGCTCCTGCACCATCGCTCCCCCACCCCATTGAAAATGCTTGAAGCAAGAAAATTACTCTCAAGTAGATAAAAATCACCTCATTTCACCTTATTTTCCGAGCTAACGCCCCTCATCTATTCATTGAGCCCCTTCACCATCGTCCCACCCCCATTTCAAGACTCCAGGTTAGGTCACTACATACAGGATGGTCGATATAACAAAAATGTGATAACTTACATCGGTGTGCATAAAAAGATAAAGGAATTCCATTCACTGATCAACATCATTTGACCCTTTAAACGTATTGGGTACCGTCTCGTCTCATTCTCGTGGCAATCTAAACATAATTCGTAGGGGAAAAAAATGAGAGATTAGCGTAAATATTGTGAGCGCACGAGTCAAAATTGGGCCTAAGTGAGAGCTGGCCCAATAAACTTTACCTTAGTGTCTGCTGTTTAACAACTGTGGCTAAAAGTAGAATAAATTCGTCCGATAAATTACATATTAACGACATTCACTCTTCATCTTAACACGTTGCTACAAACAGTGCTGATCTGTCATCAATTACTACCAAAGAGTGAAACAAATCAAACTTCAGACTCTGACACTGGCATCACGGGCATCACGTACGTTGTCCTTTTATTCCTCTTTCGTTCACCGTGTCAGTTCGTCATTTGCTCACTTTTATACGGTTTTTTTAATTTATGCACAAAAAATACTGTTTAAAGATGAACAATATCCGCAATACGTCATAATCATGCACAGATGTAAGCAACTAAGATCTAAAAGCAGTCCCAATGATTGGCTATTACAACCGGAGCATTAGCTACTGATAATGATGATGATGATGGTGAGGTTGATGTTGATGATGATGACGATAATTATGTTGATATACTTACGATGATGATGATGATGATGATGATGATGATGATGATGGTGATGACGATAATGGTGTTGTTGATAATAATAATAGGGATACGGACAACGGCGGACGTGATGATATTGACAATAATGTTAATAAACTGTCGACTAAAGAATGTTGACTATGAACATGTGCGTGTTAGTAAGATTGTTATATATAAAAAGGTCGAGATTTCATACAACAGTCAAAATTCAACAAAATGATATCAGAGAAAGCAATTAGCCCACATAGCATTCTTTGAATGCTATCAAACACAACTCGGCTCGATAAACAGGGCTCTTGGAAACAAAACACTTTTAAATACGATGGAGTAACAGCGATGACGAAAGCATATAATATACATTGATAATTTACAGAAGAACGCTATCACCGGAGAGGGTATGGGGACATTTTAGATGAAAAAGTATATCCAGGCATGTACATTTTATACAGACGAAAGACACCAGGGTAGGGTGTGGGAGCAGTAGCTTATGGCATACTTACAAAGCGCATGTTGACGAACAAATCCGAAACATGGGCTAAAACATACGAAAGCTTCACGTACTGGGTGAGGGTATAGGAAAGGGAGGTTGGAGGTGGGGCCGAGATAGATGAAACTATGAAGACGGGGAATGGTTTTACTAACAATTAAAGCAATAAGTACCTATCGGTTTTATATAATATTAAAAAGAGATGAAACTAATGAAGTAGGCCTCCGAATGGTTACGATAATTAAATAGCATTGTTATTTTTATTATTATTAAAACTGTAGTATCGTTATTATCAATCACAATCATAATTCTTACAGAATGCATGTTTTATATACAAACTATTATAATTATATGATCTTGAAGTAGATAATGGCAAATAGCAAATACTGCAGCTTATGTCATTTACATAAGCTAAGCCATATTATTATATTACAGGCGTCTCGACGCTTAATACTGCTATTTGTGTGTGTTTATGTATATCTAGATGTGTATAAGAGACAGTATATATTCATTGTCAGACTCCATCCATAAGTTCTTTGTTCATAAAATTATATGAAAATTGGATTTTGCTATTTATAATCTATTCAAGAAGGGAAAAGCTTTACATTACTTTTTTGTACAAAAATTGAAAATGAGATTTTGTATTTTAAGAAGGATTTTACAATTCTTCTGTTTTATTTTCAAATTTTCATTAATTATTTTATTTGCTCAGTGGATCTCATGCTTGTGACCTCTGGTCTTAATGAGAGTCTCCCATATCCTACGATTTCAATTTTCTTGCATACATTTTTGTAATGTTATGGGTTTATGTAGGATAGAATAAATTGATTTGTGATTACGATTGTGATTGTAATGAGCATAGAAATAACGTAAATCATAAAAAGCACCTAGTCCATCTTAATTACAACATCTATATCTGAATTACTTGCAATATTATTAATAGCAACAATAATTTCGATGGAATGATAATTAAAATAATATGTCATCTAAAGTAATGATCTATAATAAAGGTTTATAATTATCGAAATAATGATATACTAATAATAATGATAATGATAACGATGATGATGACAATACAAATCTGATGTCACTACCACAATAATATATTATTATCATTATTGTTGTTGATAATTCTAACCATCGTCAGAAGATGTGCAGTCAAACATATCATCCCCATGGAAACTGCTGTTATCCGCACGGCTGACGTTCGTACCTGAAACACAGTCAACAAAGTGACAAGTTCCAACTTTAAAACGTATAAGCTTTCGTGATATAATAACGAATTAAAAAAACAACCATGCAACAAGCCGGACATGCAACTGAACAAACTGTGGCTTATTGGTTTGTTTTTTTTGGTTTTTTTTTAGAATTTTTAGGTAAACTGCTATGAACAATGTAGTTGTGAATTCTCTCGTTGAAACCCAAAGCTCAAGAGAATTCGCATACAGAGTTGTTGCCTGGTGTTAGTCTGTCTTCAATGGAAAATTTGATAATCTTATCTTTTAAATGAGCCATCCGGTGTTTAAACTGAATATTCAAGGACATCCATTATTTTACAGTCTTTTCGCTAGCTACAGTGTAGGCATACCTCAAATATATAGGGCTACATTAATGTTCGATGTCAATTTATGTTAATTGTCAATTTACGTACAGATCGATTTATATCCAAGTGTCAATATGGAAACATATCCGAACGAGCAGCCTATATAAATATATGCAGAATTGCTTATAACAACAAGCCTTGAACTGAAGATGTGTTATTTCTAAATGTTCTTTAAATGCTACTTTGAATCTTGATTGTTAGTATTTTTGAAACATCAACTTCTTCCACATCACAGGAAAGAAGGAAGAAGTTGAAGTGAGGAAAATAATCAGCTAGCGACTGGAATATTTGAACTCCATACCCTGATGTTGGAATCCAAACACATTAACAGTTAACATTATACTGTAGCCGCGGCACTTAAATCCTGAAAACCCCGTAATAAATACAGGATATACTGGTATGACAGTCAGTTTTAGGTTTAATCATCATAAAATAAGCAAAGTGCAATTGCTTCGTTTGGAGTTTGGCACTCGGTATGTCTGGTATATATGTCTATATATTAAAAGAAAGGTAAATACAGTGTTCGAATAAAGAGCATAATAATACATCGTGCAGCTCTCAACGAATGTAGTCCTATAAATAAATGAATAAAGAAATTGTGTAATAAAACGTCTCTGGTGGGATTCGAACAAACGATCTCTCGCTGTCAAGGCGATCGTCATAACCGTTAGACCACAGAAGCTTCATGGTTGAACAGATTCAAATACCACCAGATACACTCCATTACACATTAGGTACGGCTTGAAACAAATAATTCCATATAATATAAATCAAGATAGCCGTTAACACTGTTAAACTATACATAAATCATCAAAGAAGATAAATACAGTGTTCGATAAAGGACATAGTAATACATCGTGTAACATAGCTCTCAACGAATGCAGTCCTATAAATAAATGATTAAAGAAGTTGTGCAATAAAATGCCATACACATCT